GTTTTCTACATTCAAAAAAAAGGAAGCTTTTAGAACTACATTTACATGTGAGATTATAATCTCTTGTAGTTATTTTGTTGTAAGTTATTATCAGTTTTATTTCTTTGGGTCCCAAGTAGAAAATAGACCTTTAGTAGCATATCTCCAATTCCCTACGTCGTCTACACACCTCTTTAACTGGTTCCACTTTTGCTTGTGAGCACTCATTTCCTTCTAACACGATCTTATCCAAGTCACCCTCATCGTTTCATATTTGCATTTCAATCAGGAACCTGATGAGTGATGTTATTCAATGGGTAGTTCAGTGTGTGTATCCAGTCAATCCTAATCTCCCTCTGTAAATGTTTTGGTTAGACAATAGGTTCATGGTTTAATATAAGTGGTATACTACTACCTAGACATGAAACGAGCAAGATGCCCGAATGGTGCGTTCAGATCACTTCAATTCGACTGGCCAGTATTACTGGTTGTTATGAGTTTCATACAGCTACACATCACAGTTAGTCAGTAGTATATAATGTTTTGCAAATCTTGGTTGATTGATTATTAGATTACACAATTAAGGTTGCTGCTGATAAAATTCTGAAGCCTGTTGGAAGTGCTTTTGATGATACGCGCTTAACCTCTGCAGAATACAAAAACACCAAGTAACTTGGCATTAGGGTTGTAAATTCCAGTACTAACTTCGGATTTAAGAACATCGGTTTTGACATTCTTATCCTAATTTCGATATCTTCATCTTTGCTTTCTATCTATAGTTTCAATCATGCTACCTAAGTAAGTGGAAGTGATGACCTAATTTAAATTTCTTCTGCTGATAAGGGCTGGTGTTTTTCTTGGCCATCCTAGTAAATTTATGTGTAAATATGTCATCAAGAATTAGTTTTTAGGGTTTTGATATGTTTCAGGTGTTACCACATATACAGAACCATTGAAGACCACCAAGGATGACTAGACAGCTGTTTTATCTTAGTTTGAGCCTTATAGAAATTACCCATCCAGCGGGTTTCGAAGCCACGGCCTTAGGATTACATGTCAATCTTGTAGACCAATAAACCCCATAGGACCAAACTGCTAACCATAACTCCTATCTGTTTGTGATTTAAGGATGACCTCATGTCCTCACTCTCGATACCGGCCGGGGGGCGCAACTGACCACTAAATAGCAAACAGCTTATTAAGTTTCAAGAGTTAGTTTGTGGGGATTAGACTTGTTTCATCCAGTAGCGAGTGAGGACATCTGCTTCAAGGTTTGGATCGCAGACTACGTTGTATGTGATGAGATCCAGGAGACTAGGATGAAATAGATGTTCAGTCCTCCTAGTCGCTATTCAGTTTAAATTTATGCTCCAATATTTAGATAACATTCAGCAAATGAAATCGGTGTAAAATGTATGTTGTATAAAGTGAGAAATACTAGAAATAACATAAAAATGTCTTTTTGATTAGATGATAAAATAAACAAAGTGATCTAACCCTGCCTAAAGTGTATATTTTCATTGCTTTTTAACAAGAAAGTCTACTCTTCCTACACTGAATGAGTAGTTAGTTGTCTTACTTCAATTTAGTGAATTTCACAAACACGTTTCTTTCCATTTAGTAATGTTGAATGCATAAAGACAGCAAAAAAAGAGGAGAAAAGATGTTTGCTCGTTGTACTGTGTAATTATCTGTCAGTTGAGTTAACTATACACTTGTGTATGTTAGAAAAAGAAACAGGCTTTGATTTGATCGAACTGTTTACGAATATCTCTCTCAAATATATATATATATATATATATATATATATATATATATATAATGTACAAATTTCTATCGACCTTTCCATTGGGTGTATCCATGTATTTACTCAAAGGTTATAATTAGGAGAGAGAGAGAAAGAGAGGGAGATGGAGAGAGTTGAACATCATGGAAATAGGTTAAGAACTAGAAATTGGGAAATACATCTTCCGAAATATTCCTATTATGTGATAATTTTGGAACACGACTGAAGCAAGCCAATACGTATTTTCGGCAAATCATCACTCATCAGACTTTACAGTGACGTAATAAAATATCGGTCACATTTTGCTTGAAACCAGCTAACATTCTTCTGGCTCTACAGTTACAAATCCATGAATAATAGAGAACAGTACATATAGCCAATAAAGGTAAATGAAAATATGTTCAGAAACTGTAATCTATCATCTTTAATGCACAGTGTGAATATCGGTTTGGTTGAGGAAATGACATTCAGTTTTGAGGCATTAAATGTTCTTTCAATTGAACTTGTTGATCTACGGTTTAATATATCGTTGGCTATATCACCTTTGAATTGTATATTTAAGTAAAGCTTTTTCTTACTTACTGTGTTTCGCTTAGTTTTATGTGTAGTTTCATAGATTAGCCAAAATTGCGACATCAGTTCAACTGCTGTTATATAGGTCGTGCCCAAAGGAATTTATCTTTACGCACTCGTGAACATATTCCTGTTTGGCTTAAGAAAAGAGCAACCAAATCATCAAATAGTGCAATTCTGCCTCATCTAGTGGATAGCGAAAACAGTATTAAGGTAGATGAGTCATTTACAGTTGTGTAATGAGTACCAAACAATCTCCTGAAAGGCACACGATTACGCCTCCTAGCCATAGCTGATGCTTTAGAGATTAATAGAGAGATACCAAACCTATGTGTACAGAAAAAACTTATTCACTCTCTTTGTCTACCCTGGCCCACTCTATGAGGTCACCAGGATCATAATTTTTCGTACAATTATTATCATCATTATCGTTTTGTGATATCATGTCTTTATTATCCATTTCTCCACCCAGTTTATTTCACCTCATTGTCACCCTTAATTGTTGTCAACCTTTATGATTTTATACTAAGCCTACCAATTCTGTAGCCTCTTATTACAATTTACAATTTAGCCTCTTTATTTTATCATTAGACACTGTCGATCAGCCCCCATATTCAGTGTCCCTTTTGTTAATGTGTATTTGTATGTATTTTGTGGTTGTCGCATTTCTCTCACCTCAATGACACTTGTGTTCTGTTGACTATAAAACCACGGTATATACCACCCAATTTTTCATTCACACTTCATCACATTTTTCCTGACTGACTATACACCCTATACACATTTGATTGACTATGTTCACTAATGGACTATCACCTCAACTTACACATGCACCCCAATACAGCTTCTGATATTATTTTCATTTGCCTTTACTGGCTATATGTACTGTTATTATTCATGGATTTATGACTGTAGAGCCTCAATGAGGAAGTCACCGGAAAAAGTTGTTAGCTCAAAATCTTATTTTGATTTCAATATGTGGATTTTTCATTTACTAACATTCTACTGTAGATACATGGACATGAGAATAACATTGATATTCACATCACTGTCAAAATGTTAAACATAGCTCATCCACAATTTGAGTTCGCATACGGTGCAGAGAAGGGTAACACTCTACCATTTCTTGATATCCTGGTAACAAAAAGGCTGGATAGTTGTCTAATGCGGGGCTTTGTGTTTTACGGAAAAAAATTATGGATTGATCAATACACACATATTTCAGGTCGTTTGTTCTTCTTCCATACAAGTGAAAACTCATCAAAACCCTGATGTCTCCTGCCAGAAAAATCTGCACAAGCAACACACTTGATGAAGAAACAGAGAATGGATATCCGAAAGAATTCGTGAAAGTCTCCGTGATGTGGAAGACATATAGAGAGAGAAATGCCTGCGCAAACTGTGCAGAAGAAAAGTACAGATATGATTTTATCATTCAAAGGAGATTCTGGTACTGAGACGCCGAAAAGTAATGGCTAGAACGTTCTTCGCCTCAACACTATGCTTGAAATTCAACACCGTCGCCTACATGAGCATTGTCCAACGTGGTTAAGTGAAAGAGTTGTAAACTCAATCAAGGGTTGCATACTGACACATCTTGTGTATGCGTAACAGGAGATTGAAAAAATTTCCACCTTTTAAACATTATACGTACGTGGTGTTACCTCAATTCCCTAAGCTTGTACACCTTTGAGTGGAGGTGGTTGCCATAAAATGTTTCAGCTAAACTTTTGTGTATAGAAAACTTTTGTTTATTGCCTCTCCCTCCAATCGCCTTCATCGAAAACCTAGAATACTTATCCCGGTTATCATTATTCTTCCACTTAAATTCTCGATTCTTTTGGATTCTACTGATTCCCAACGTTTTAGATATCTTTGACTGATGTTTTATTATGTAACTGCGGTAAGCCTGACGGGAATTTACCGAAAAAACGTATTCGCTGGCTAGAATCATGTTCTAAAATACAATTTTATCCAAGAACCTCCTTGGTTTCATTGGCTACACAAGGTCGATAACAAAAGTAAAGTAAGCAGTTGGTGAGGAGAGACACTACAGTCTGTTAAGACTTTTCACTGATAAGTGGAGATTATTGAGGATACTGGTATTCAGATGGGAATTTAACTCAAAAGATTGAATTTTTTCTTTCACGTTCCCTAGTGGAACATAGGGTTTCAAGCTAGTGGCTTGAAGTTTCTGTAGCAGTGTTTATTTTTACAGGACAGGATTGCTGGCCCCACGCCCAACCTTTCCTCTTTACCAGCATTATTTCTAGCTTAGCGAGGTGAAGGAGTGCGTCTGTGACCGGGAATCGAGCCCTGGACCATGTGCACGGTCGGCAATCATCCTAACCGCTGTGCCACCGACGCACATGACACTGTCAGGTAGTTGCCATATGTCGTTTTTTGGCAGAAAATGGAATCCATGGGCCTTCGGACAGTGGCCCAGTGACCTATTGGTATCTAGGTCGCCTTTTGACAAGAAGGTTAGGGATTCAAACCCTGGTGGGTGCGTACTGATAAGGAGTCCTGGACGAAACAGCTGTCCAGTACTTTCATGTAAGCTCATGATGAAATCCTGTAATGAATCAAATAAAATCCATGCGAACCAACACAATAACGTGACTTTGTTTTACTATAATTAATACGTGTTATTAATACTCACTGTTATTAATCACCAATAAATGAATCTTCTAGTTTTGATCTTTTTTATAACCAACTGATTCTGTACACTTTACTTCACACACTGAAAATTAAAGAAAGAAATGTAATTAAGAAACTCTTCTGTTATGAAAGAAAGTAACACAACAAAACCCGCTCTTGAAATCTGATGTATCTATAAAATCATGTAGTTAGCATCTGTTTGACTGCCACTTCAATTGAATACCTAATAAAGAAAACATGTTTTGACGTTAGGAGAAAGGATATTGTCTCGGAGGACTGAGAAGTTTTAGCGAAACAACTTCACTTAGCTCACAGGAGACAAAAATACCAATTTCATTTACTGGTCTTCTTGAGTACAGTATGTTTCTCATAATCAGATCAAGGCAATCATATATAACTTTCCGAAATTTGATCATATATGATTGCATTATTTCCTATCGTTTGATTTTCATTGGTAGTAATATTTTCTGTACTTTTAATATTGGTTTCGTGTTAATTTTATTGCACGCGTTAGGCGTATATTCTATGAAGATAGATTCAATAATCGAACTCTTTCACCACCTGTCTGTATTTACTTTTTGGAACTGAAGTTTCGTCCCACCTATTTGTATCGTTGCGTATGCACTAGGCGCTAGAGTGGGACAAAAGTCTTTAACAGCACATCTCCATTTCGTCCTGCTCTGTACACTCCTCTTAAACTGGCCCCCACCAACGCCAATAGGCTCCTCAAAAAATCCTCCAACTTAAGGATCGGAGGTCAAAGAAAATCATTAGACGATTACGTTCCTCATGAAGATCTTTAAATTATTAATTTATTGCTATTGTTATTGGTATCTCAAAATTACATTCATGAAGTATTCGTGGAGAGTTCTTGTTAGGAAATATGGAAAGCCAAAACAAGTGATTCAAAGATGGTTCCGTTTTCAACGGATTTATTATCAAACTGTGCAGTAGTATATATATATATTTCCCAATAAGAATGTGACTTCTGACAAAAAGTAATTGGTTGAAGGATTTCATCATGTTCATGATGACATCAGTTAGAGAACCACTGGAAAATCAGCTGGGAGTACTGGACAGCCAGCTATTTCCATCCTAGTTTGGCAGTTTTCAGCAGTACTCCCCTATTACATGGGTTCGAATCCAGGACCAGTGGCTTAATGGTCTACGATATCATCAGCTCACTATGAAATCCTTCAACCGGTCAAGCCAATCAGCATGCCACCGACGCACAACACTACAAAAGATTATAAAACATTCAATAAATAAAGTTGACAAGAGAGATAATATCAGAAATTATTCAAAGTGAAATTAGAAATAACACTTGACATTACTAAGGCAGGGATACACAAACTGAATACACACAAAATGGAAAATAAGCAGTGCCAAAGCATGAATGAAGATTACCATACTTTTAAATAGACGAGTTAAGAACATGGAAAGTGAAGGGTTTGAACAAACTTCTCTATATGCCAAGATCTGGCTTTTCTATTTCGATGGTCAGAACTTCAGCAATACAGATAAGGTAGACAAGTGATGATTTGTACAGGTTATATTTTGCCTGTAGAAAGAAAATGATGACCATTATGGAAGAGATGTTCGGTTAATGAACATCTGATAGCTGCATCTTCCTCGTCTTTGTAACTTCAGGGAATAACAGTATCCTTGAACCCTTTCGGTCGACCCAAACTGTTGAATAATCTAGAGAGCAAGATCTCATAGCCGATCACCTTTGTGCACTTTTATCGATTTGCCTGCTCATATGAAGCTTGGTGTATCGGTCGTTTCATGTGGGTTTTGTTCAAGAGACCGCAGTGACACTATTCTGCGTGTTTATGTGTAGGTGGAAGTGAGGTTATAAGAAAAGCAGTCATTGAGCATCTGGTTGATACTTGTCAGCCTATGTCTTCAATCTCTTCCTTTAAATTTGTCTACAAGATGAAAAATTACTCACTCAAATCACTACGTGTTTGACTCAGCCGTAATGCTGATAATGCAACCATCGAAACAGAAAAGTCAGATATCTCTGTATACAGAATAATTTTATTCAGCCCCTGCAAATCTCATAGTCTTAATGGCCAAGTTAAAATTTTAGGACCACTAACTACCAACCAGCACTTCGCTTGGTTATTATCTGATGCCTGCTTTAGCGAAGTTACACTTGAAGTTCGATGAGGTTAAGGTTTCGCAGTATTGCCTGGATTCATGATGGCTTAGGAAAGAGAGGATTTATTCACATGGCGCCATGAGTGTAAAAAGCTTTAGCAGGTCGACTGATGAATATACCCATCGTTGTGCAATCTGTCTGAGACCAGTTCGTATTAGGGAAGGTAAGCTGGTGATTTTACTATTTTGCAGCAACAGTTTTTGCCAGGTCGTGTCTTTCCCCAACCCAGATTTTGTATATTTGTAACTACTGAGTTTTAAAACAGCCTGTGAGAGGCGCACCTGCTGAAACTGGAAATGGCCTCGTGTCGACAATTCAGTGGTACCAGCACTGAAGAGACATGGTCTCATAAAAAATGGAGAGAATTACTTCGTTGTTAGGCTCAGAAGGTGTCGTTGTGCACGAGGAAGAAACTGTCTTATTGAAGAAAAAATACAACCGTGATGGTTAGCGAGCCACCAACGTTTGGGTGATCAGTTTATATGACACCTCCCTTCAGAAAAGATTAGTGAAGAGAATAGCAGACAGAAAGTCTTCTACCTTGATAACTATTGTCCCTCGACTGGTGAAACAAGGATCTATTGTACATACCCATGGATGTTAAAGTTATAACTGGCTATCATTCCTTGGATACATTAATCACAGAGTGTACCATTTTAGTGATTTTGTGTATCTCATTAGAGGGAAACACACACGAATTCTCCAGAAGGATTTTGAGAAAGATTAAACAATAGAATAAGGGCTATAAATGGATCTTTAAAGGATGTCATTTATAGTCATTCGAATGAATATATATTTATAGAATGTGATGTGAATTTTCTATCGACACTTCTATACTTAAGAGAAAGATGTTTCTGTCACATGTTTTATGCAGTTTTTATGTTGCTTTTTCATAAGTATACGTTTTCCATAATCAAAATTCCCTCTTTCATGTGATTGGTTCATTGAAGGTCATTTGCTAATTGGTAGTTAGTGGTACTTAAAGTTTAACTTTGTCGTCTTAATCTATCTATGCTAAAGTATGATAATCCCTATTTATACTTTAACCTTACTTCTTCTTTGCGTGTTTATTAAATTTCGCTCTCAACAATTTCCTGTATTATCTCATTTTATTTATTGAATATTTTATAATTTCTTGCAGTGTTGCATGGTAATTCTCACTTTGTTGTGTAATGTTTTTAATTGTCTACTAATCGTATTGCTCCTACGATATTTCGTGAGTTATTATATAAAATGTGCAACCAATACATAACTGGGTGGGTGTGAGGACAATTACTCTCTGATATCACTGGTTAGTAGTCGTACTGCAATCACGGAGTCAGATCCCGGTGGTTGAGTAGTTGTTGGGCTTGTCTTGCAACAACAGGAAGGTTCTGGGTTCGCACTGTGGTGGGCTACTACTTAACTAGGACAAGACAGTTGTTCAACACTCTTCAGCTAGTTTTCAACCGGTATTCAAACTTGAAACAAATCGAATCCCTACAAACTAACCCTTGGAAACAACCAAATATTTTGTCGCAAATCAAATTCGCCACGAGCCTAAGACCGACATTCTCCTGCAAGAAACTGTTCAGTCAGAACGCGAAAAATAAGCTGTCGTATTTATCCACTTCAGTGTGCATATTCCAGTTTACTTGCTCTTGCGGAGCTGAGTATATCGACCATACCGTGCGCCAAGTTGAAAAACGCGTTCGTGAACACTATCCAGCCTGGTTAGTAAAAAGAGATCGAAAACGTGTATATTGTCCAGTGACAGAACATCTGGTAATTTAGGACATTCAGCGCCATTAGAAAATTCCTTCAAGATAATATACAAGATTCTATCAAACCTAACAAAGGGAGCAAAATTAAGACATCTGGGCATAGCCGAGGCACTAGCTATCCAAAAGCTCTAAACGACGCTATGTATCTGAAAAAAATACGCCCAATCCTTGTCCCTGTCATGGCCATCATAAACAGGTAATTCTTCTAATAATGACTATCCCACTGACTTTCTTATCCACACTACCTGTTTATTCATGTTATTTTAAGTTTTCTTAATCCCTATTTACAATTTCATATTTTCATATCCTGGCTTCCTGTCCATTTTGTCATTTTATTATTTCGACATATTTCATACCTAATTACATAAACAGTTATTCGTCACATTAGTTTTGAACCTACCAGAATTTTTATCCGAACATCCCGTCTAACCCCTAATTGTAAAATCAATGTCAATCTTCTTAGTAATTAAGATGCTACTTTGTCTGAGCTTTATTCGTCCCCCCTGTTTATTATGGCATTTTAATTCCTCATTGTAATTCTTCTAATCTAACCCTTGACCAGAAATTATTCTGGAACTTTCCTACTCATTTATTATAAATACACGAATGTACAGCTCTGTCTAGTTGACGATTTCGTCAAAAAGAAAATTTTCTTCGCTGCAATTGTCTTTTTATTCCCTATGATCAAATGTGTATGCTCCGTGACTCATATTATTGTTAAAAATTATATATATATATATATATATATATATGATAGAGAAGATTTGTAGCTCAGGTGGATAATTTTGATGTGGTTTTGTTCTCTGAGCTGGATAGTTAGTTTGCGAAGCTTTCATCACCTTACTGGGTGACATCTTCAGCGCATACTTCAAATTGAAGTATGCGCTGAAGATGTCACCCAGTAAGGTGATGAAAGCTTCGCAAACTAACTATCCAGCTCAGAGAACAAAACCACATCAAAATATATATATATAAATTATATATATATATATAAATTATATATATATATATATATATATATATATATATATATATATATATATATATATATATATGAATATAAATTTTCTGTAAAGAGACCTTTTACTGAATCACTAACCTGGCTGTCCTTTAGCATATCTAAAGCTGTCTTTTTCACACATGAGATTACATGCATTAGATTTACCTAAAATATCGCAAAAATACACGCAAATGAATATATCAGCTAGGCAGTAACGCTTCAGGTATTTTTTATTTTTTATTACAGCTTGATTCCACACTGTATTTTTGGTACAAGTGTGGAATTTTCAGCGTGGATATCGGTAGCCCAAAATTCGCAGGCCGACCATAGATATCAGGTGTGCGTCGGCGTGGGCTCGAACCCCGGACCATGTGCATGGTCGGCGAGAATCCTAACCACTGTGCCACCGACGCACACAGGTATATGAAAACAACACAGTTGTAAGCCATTATGAGGATTTTTACATTTCACAAGGAATGGAAAGCAAAAGGATGTTGTTTTTACTGACGTTTCACTACTTCGTGTTAATAGCCCTTATATTATTTTTATTGTTCTCTAGGGTCCTAAGTGGGAGTTCGGGGCTTTGGCAGAATATGTCCACATTGTCTTGTTCTTTGTATCCCTCTTCGGCTACCTCTAAGATTGCCTGTAGGTTCTCATATCCTTCTCACATATATCTCCTCCATGTCGCCCTTGGACATACGACAAAGTCGTTGTTTCTCACTCGAGTATCTCTCAGTGGCAAGCCTGGCGTGCGATGTCACTCGACAGTCTCCTCAGTATAAGCCTATGTCTCCAATCCATCTCTGTATTCTTCTGAAAGTTATATTGGTCATTATATTATTATATTATATACATTATTATATTGTCCAACCAACCATCGGATCTTTAGTATGGAGGTAGCGAAGGCAGCTGCTGATTAGCGTCTGCAGTGGACTGTTGGAAATACCCTTTTGATGAAGTGACTGACTTAACATTGGTGTTGAAAATCTGAATTCGGTTCGTCATACTGAGTACGCCAATAGCCTCATCAAAGTATTATCATATCAGAATTTACAAAATATCACCTTGTATAGAGTGAATTAATCACATTTCTTCAGTATGAGGAAGGTTTACTATTATCAAGTGAGTAATCTGGTAAATATGACAGAACCATATGCAGATTGCCAGACTTGATAAGTTATATGAAATTACAAAAGCAATAGGAGTTTATATGATAAAATGGCTTATCATATTTTTATTACTTTTGTCGCTTCATTCCAGGAGGGGGTTATGAAGTGTTGGGAGTATTTCAAATTCTATTCTGTCTCTCTATAGCCACAGAGAAATGCAGCTGGACGAGAAAGAATTGAATTTGCCGTAGGTCCATATGATATAGACCAGAAAATTGATTCCGACAATATTGAAATCATGAGCTGATATCAGTCACAGAACGATTGGAATGCCTGGGCGCACTGGGCAGCTGTTTCACCCTAGTTTGGGACTCTTCATCAGTACGCACCCACCATCACAGTTCGAACCCGGAACCTTCTGGATACCAGGCTAGTGAGCTCACAGACAACTGAGCGACTCAGACCCAATCTAATGACCAGCCAATGAATTCTAACTTCTGCCAATTCATGACATAGCGAGACCACTTAGCAATGTCTTCGATGATTAACTGTCCTCACTTTCGACTTGCTGTACCCTAACGTTCACGGTTTCCCACTAGAGCCCAAGGTTAACTGCCAGAATAGGGCTCGCCTTGTAGCCAGAATCTCCTGAGTTCGAACCCTGGTGGATGCGTAATGATGAACAGTCCTAAACTAGACTGGTTTTTCAATTGTTCTCTAATTGATATCAACTCATGATAAAGTCTTTCAACCAATCAACCAAAAAATTCCTACAAAACCATTAATACTTGAATATTGAAATCATCCAGAAAAATTCAAAAAAAAGCCAAAAAGAACCTTTAATATCAGATACACTTCCTTAGAAATGGAATCCAATTTGCATGAATAAGAATGATGCACCAGGAGAGAATCTGACCTGGTTGCATAACCAAAGCAACCAAGTCTGATAAGCAATTTCATTATGTAAATTCATGACTTATTATAATTTCGTAAACTTATCAAATCCAGCAATCTATACTTGATTTCGTTATCTTTACCATTTGACCCACTTGACAACGAAAAATTACTTTATGCTGAAGAATGGGGGTTTATTTGATATAGATAAGCTGAGGATTTGCAAATTCTGATATAACAATACTTTCATAAAGATATTATTGGTAAAAAGTGTGTAAAAACATATCATTTTGTTTTTTATTCATTGAGAAATACAAAAATGTTATTAATAATTTTGAATATCGTATACCCTACGCCCAAATCTTTTCAAAATGTTAAACTTGAACTTGGTTTGGACATATGCAAAACAAATACGGGCCTCTGTCAGTAAATTAACCTTTCCTCAAACCAACCTATCCATAAGTTTCGAATTTTTCTCGGCTGCAGCATGACAGTGAATAACCGTTTAACCGTGTCTTGAGATAATTGCGAATTCCTAAAATTCTATAATCGCGTGATGCAGTATAAGCTGCCAATCGACGATATCAGTTGTTGGGTAACGCTCACGCGGATCCAAATTAAAAAAACTAGGCAACCAGATCAAATCAATGAATGCATGTTTCGCTTCTATGGGGTTGGCTTAATCAGTGGTGTAGTTGGTTCTACTCAGTTCAGAAATCATTCAAAATCGCAATACGAGATCTTGTTGATACTCTACATTGCTATTAAGAAGGCGAGTGAACTAATTTAAAAAAAATTTACTAATTTAGTCAAGGGCATTAGCATTTCGCCTGTGTAGTCAGCAGAAATTAGAGTGACTTTAAGTATTTCGGTTTTCAAAGTCGAATAAAAAAACCTTGTACACCGCTTACGAACCCTGTTCCACTTAGATTTGCAAGCATTTATGCTCACAAACATGATTGCCATTTATGGCTTCAAAGTAGATTACATCGTAATTTGAAATTTATGTTCCATTTGGGAAGGAAAATGAATAGCATAGTCCTCTTTTAAAACGAATTCACAAATATATGGTCTTAAGCAATAAAATGATAGACTTACCATCTCTTCCAGGAGGTCCAGCTGGTCCTGGTGGGCCTGATAAGAAACGAAAACAGAAGATTTATTGACAAAATATGAGACTGGAAATCTAGAGACATGAGAGACTTATTCTGTGATGTCCCAGTGTGGAGAACTTTATCATTTGTGAGAAGAAATATCATCATAGCAAGGCTAAGTGTTAGCCATTGCCTCGCTAGTCCATACATACGTGACAATTACTGTGTGCACACATCAGCTCTCTTGTTTTTTTGTAGCCAGGAGTGAAATTTTTTTTGAAGCGTTTCATGTCCAAAGGAGTTCAGGGGCATCACTTCGCGTGGTTGCAGAAGGGTTGCAGTGATTTCATTTCGACTGGGGTAACTGAAGCCTTTACGGACACCTTCTACTTCCACCTTGACAAGTCCCTTCTTCAAAGTGACCTACAAAGTTTAGGGTGACCTGCCGAAGACTATACCGTTTTCACCTAGTTCACTAGCCGGAAACTTCAATAAAAACAACTGGATGATAGTTAATTTTCGTGTTGTTGCTGAGGAAGCTAACTGTTTATGATGGCCATAGTAAAAATAAAGTTGGGATATTCCCCCTTTGTACACATAGTTTTATCTTCGATTTTAAGACACCTAATGCTTCACTTTTGTACGATGTCACTCTCCTTAAAAGTTTTGACCGGTGCTTCCCATTTGACTCCAAAAGGTTTTTTAATTAGAGCCGACTGTCATGAAATCACAAGATGCCTAATTTTCCTCTTTGACAGAAATGTCTAAAAGTGTTCATGGGCACGTTTTCCAGGCAAATATATGGTACAACAAACATGTTCAGTTTCACAATTTAGAGGGATGGAAGCTTGATATCCACCAAGCTATCCTTTCCAAGTGGACCCATTGTGAATGGTTCTCTTCAGTGGGTTTTAACGCGCCCACCCGAGGCCGCCAAACCTCGCCAGATACTAGCTTGCTAGGCACAATGTACGAAACTGGAGAGGCTGCCCAGATAGCCGCTAAAATGAGAAGGTACAGAATAGAAGTGTTGGGAATCTGCGAAAGCAGATGGAACGGAACTGGAAGGTGCCAACTACCTACTGGAGAGACAGTAATCTATTCCGGCCACCTAGAGGACAACCATGAGCACACCGAGGGAGTGGCCATCATGATGTCACCAACAGCAACCAAAGCTCTCATGCAGTGGGAACCAATCTCCTCCAGGATAATGACAGCCAGGTTCAACTCAAAAGGAAGGAAAGTTACAGTCATTCAATGTTATGCGCCTACAAACGTCTCAGAACAAGAGAAGAAGGAGGCGTTCTACAGACAACTACAAGCAATAATGGACAACGTCCCAAATGGCGATATCAAAATCCTGATGGGTGACATGAATGCGAAGCTGGGAGGAGACAACACAGGAAGAGAACTCACCATGGGTCGTGAGGCCCTCGGTGAAATGAACGACAATGGTGAACTCTTCTCAGACTTCTGCGCCTTCAATGATTTGGTGATTGGTCGCAGTGTTTTCAAACACAAGGATATACACAAGACGACATGGATTTCACCAGATGGAAACACCAAAAACCAAATAGACTTCATCTCAATTTCAAGAAAGTGGAGACGGAGCCTACTGGACACAAGGTCGAGGAGAGGAGCAGATGTGGGTTCAGACCACTAAAAGCCTCGAGGATAGCTGGGGATAGGCCACAATGCAAGTTCAACACTCAATTACTGAAGGACACAACCACAAAAGACACTTTCACTGCAACTGTCAGAGCAAAGCAGGAAACACTACGCGACAGCACTGAAGAATCATGCGTGGAAGAACATTGGAAGTCTCTGAAGGCGATTCTCAACGAAACGTGTTCAACGGTTCTAGGAAGAAAGAAGAGACAAGACAAGGAATGGCTCTCAACGGACACTTGGAAATTAATAGAAGAGAGGAGAATGGTGAAAGAGAAAATGATTCAATGCAAGGACGGACAGGAGAAGGAGACGCTGAGCTCAACTTACAAAGCTGGACAAAGAAGTGAAAAGAGTGCTAGGAAGGACAAAAGACGATTCTACGACAACCTCACCACTGAAGCTGAGAAAGCAGCAGGCAAAAGGGACCTGAGGACACTATATCAGATAACCAAATCTCTATCCGGGAAGAGATCAACACAAGCGAAACCTATAAAAGACAGCCAAGGGAAGCCCATTACCAAGGAAGAAAAACAGATTAAACAATGGGCGGATCACTTCAAAGGACTCTTGAACCGACCATCACCTGCAACCCGTCCAGAAATACCAACAACAGCGCGCACACAACTGCAAGTTGACACCAATCCTCCAACGAGAGCTGAAGTCTTGAATGCAATCAAGCTTCTGAAAGCTGGAAAAGCAGCCGGACCAGATGGAATACCCCCTGAAGCACTGAAAGCGGACCCAGAGACTACAGCAGACATGCTGACTCCATTATTGCAAAAGGTCTGGAAGGAGGGAAAGGTGCCTACTGACTGGAGGAAAGGTTACCTCGTGAAACTACCAAAGAAGGGCGACTTAGGACTCTGCAAGAACTGGCGAGGAATCATGCTCCTATCGACGCCAAGTAAAATCCTGAGTCGCATCATCCTGGAGAGATTAAAGGACGCACTGGAGACAGAACTCCGACCAGAACAAGCTGGATTCAGGAAAGGCAAATCATGTACTGACCAAATTGCAACTCTACGCATCATCATCACAGAACAAAGCATGGAATGGCAATCAAACCTCTACCTCAACTTTATAGACTTTGAGAAGGCCTTCGACAGCGTTGACCGTGAAGTAATTTGGAAATTACTCGAGTACTATGGCGTACCCCAAATATTCATCAACCTTATTCAACAGCTGTACGACAACGGCACATGTCAAGTGATCCACAACGGAAGACTCAGCGAGGCGTTTGGAGTAAACACAGGAGTCAGACAAGGGTGCTTACTATCACCAATGATATTCCTAATTGTGGTGGACTGGATTATGCGTCAGACAGTGGGAAACGAGAAGACAGGAATATCCTGGACCGACGTGAAGAACCTAGAAGACCTGGATTTCGCGCGTGGATGATTTATGTTTGATGTCACACACAATCGAAGACTTACAAGCGAAAACCGACAAACTGGTCGAAGAAGCAGCAGAGACAGGACCCCAATGAACATAGACAAGACGGAGGTTATGAAAATAACCAACCAACAACAGCAACAACATCCAACGTCAATCACCATCAACGGGAGGGATTTGAAAGAGGTTACTTCATTCACTTATCTAGGGAGCATTGTCTCAACTACAGGAGGAGCGGACGAGGATGTCAAATCGACGAGAATCGGGAAGGCGAGAAACACATTCATCAACCTGAAATCAATCTGGAAATCTTCGTCACTCAGCATCACCAACAAAATTCGGATTTTCAATACAAACGTAAAGTCAGTTCTTCTATACGGATCAGAAACTTGGCGGGTCACAAAGAATATTTCCAAAAGGCTGCAGACCTTTATTAACAACTGTCTTCGCTCAATACTGAAGATCAGATGGCCGGAAAGAATCACCAACAAGGAATTATGGGAACAAACAAAGCAAGAACCAATCGCCCAACAAATATGCAGGAGAAAGTGGAGATGGATCGGACACTCGCTGAGGAGACCGCTGGGTGACATCGCGCGCCAAGCCCTCGAGTGGAACCCGAAAGGGAAGCGGCGTGTGGGACGTCCAAGGGTGACATGGAGGAGATCGTGTGAAGAGGAGTTGAAAGAAGATGGATTAACATGGATGCAGGCGAAAAGTATAGCAGAAGACAGAAGCAAATGGAGACGTGCAGTTGAAGCTCTATGTTCCACTAGGAACCCAAGGGAGCAATAATAATAATATCAACGAAAGGCAATAATGAAGAGTGAGATTATACTTCTCTGGTGAAGTAAGATAAGTTTAGAAAAATAATACACAGTTTGTAGGTTTGCAGATTCCAAAGTGGGACAGAGTGGCTGAACCTGTTTTGTTCTTGGACATGGAGTCTCGGTTCCTGCTTCCAGCTAATAAGAATGGCGTCGGCTGTTTGGATTACTCCGTATCTTTAGGCCTTTGCCAATTTATCTGATAATTGATTATTGTTGTTATTTTTGCTTCTCTTAGTTCTGAGTGGAACATAAGGCTTCCACAGCACAGTTGCGCTACACCCCATTCTCCAGTCTTTTTCAGCTGGCTCTACGGTTGTCTATATGTTGTTGTTCTCTCCTCACATGATAGCTCCCATATTACCCTCCTGTTCGCATCCCAATCGAGAGTCAGGCGTGAGATTTAACACCATCGTCATTTTGACAGTTCGGTCACACCAAAGAATTAGGTTATTCTTAGCATTTTTTCAATGCATTGAAGTTTCTGTCGCTATTCGGCTGGCTTTTCTAAGCAGGTTCGCTAGCTCACACTCAAACTCATCTGTTGTTCATAGCTAAGGGTGGGTGGGGGTTGGCAGACTACATGTGCACTCAAAAATTTGCCAAAAAATATTCTTCAATCCTGAATTTATACCTCGTTCGGAATAGGTTTTATTATTATTCCCTTAGGTTTCAAGTAGAACAGATGGCTTCATCAACACATTTACCCTTTCGTCTATTTTCTGCCATCCCCTTCAGCCGACTAGGTCCACGACTGCCCATAACCTCTCATTTCTTCTTCACACGATCTGATCTATGTCACCCTAAGGCGACCCACTGATCGCTTCCCACTTGACTTTCGCTCGAGGACTTGGGGCGCGGTGTCATTCGATGGCCTCTTCAATGTATGCCTGATCTATCTCCATTTTCTACTACATATTTTTCGAGCAATCGGCTCTTGTCTGGTTTGTTGCAAGCCAGAGGTTCTTGTTGCTTATTCTTTCTGGCTATTTGAAATTCAGTATGTAGCAAAGACAGCTGTCTCCAGTAACTTGTTGGAAATGCTTTTCTTGACTCCTCAGCCAGGTTTCTAACCCTTAAAGAGAAACTGACTGACTGACTTCACCTTTGTGTTAAAAATCCGAATCTTGTTCTTAATACCGAGTGAGTG